AGACTGAAAGGAAAATTTTATAAAACGGTAGTGAGACATGCAATGCTCTATGGCGTTGAATGTTAGCCTTTAAAGAGAAGCATAATAATAAGTTAAGTGTTGCCGAGATGAGAATGATTAGGTGGATGAGTGGCTTTACACTTAGAGACAAAATGCGGAATGAATATATTCGTGATAGGGTTGGTGTAGCTCCTGTGACAGACAAAATTAGATAAAGTCGTCTTAGATTGTTTGGTCATATTAAACGTCGACCATTAGATGATCCGATTAGGAGAGTAGATGTTTTAAATTCGACTAGTGTTAAGAAAGACAGAGGTAGACCTAGGAAGACTTGGGTTTATTGTATTAAAAATGATCTTAATTTACTAGAACTAAATGAAAATATGACACTAAATAGGACGCAATGGAGAAAAAGGATTCATGTAGCCGACCCCACGTAGTGGGATTAAGGCTTTGTTGTTGTTGTATTAACTATTTCTCATGTTTTAACCAAGGGTTGCTTCAAACACCTATTCAAAAATTCCTTCAAATTTAATGAATCATAAAATAACTACTTATGATGCTTAAGCAGAGGGTGCCTAGCGCTTAGGCTCGGCTTTCTCTGTTTAATTGACGCATAAGCGCCAGTCTTGGGCGCTTAGGCGCCTCAGTTCATTTTCGTATCTTCTTTATTTTTGCTTCAAATTTGATACTTTTTCACTCATTTTATCATTTTTCATCCAATTGATTGTACATGAAAGAAAAACACACAAATATCTTTCATTAAAGGGTAATATCTCAAAAATAGGTATAAAAATGTGTACGTAAAGACTATATATTTTAGGTGTATCAGGGTTGAAATAAGATAAAATTATTTATTTATTATGTAGTTGAATATAGTTTAAAATAAAATAAGATTGTTATAAAGGTTATTTTTATTAATTTCAGAATTATTTTTAAAAATAATTATTATTTAAAAAAGGATAAATATTTACATTCAAAATCGTTTTAAATGGTTAAACTTCTTAATAATGTTATCTACACGAGACGAGGAGAACAAAAGATTGATACATATATATAATATCTTGTTTTATTTATTTTTTTAAATATTTTTTAAATCAATGATTATTATTAAATATAATATCTTGTTTTATCGGTGATAGACCATCAACAAATTTCTATCATCCAACATGAATATTGGGGCATCATATTGATCTCAAGATAATCTTTAGAGCAAGAAAAGTTCAAAATTCATTTAAGAGTCATACAGAACTTTGATTTCAACAAACTTACAATCAAACTGACCAGAAACGAGACAGACTCAAGGATATCAAAATCGATCCAATCCAAGCTTAAACCACTTTTGGAAGCTTTTTAGGTTTATGTAGAAAGTCAAGTGGATATCTAATCAAGTGAGCTTATGATCGAATCGATTGTCTCGACAAGATGAATCCAACAAGCCCACAAATAGCTCAATTTTGACATTTTTAAGGCATTCAAATGTCCATCAAACGACGTCTGATTGAGGGAAGTCTTCAAACCTATCAGATCAAATGGTTCATTTTATTACATTGATTGCATCCAGAGCTCTATACATAATCAAGGTGTTTCGGGGGGGGGGGGGGGGGGAAGCTTGAGGCTTGAGAAAGAAATTGAAACTTTGAGAAGAAACTGAAGTCTAACACCACTCTTGCCGCTATCGACCACCGTCTACCTTTGTGGATTACCGTCAATCACCGTCGACCACCACCGACCGAACGTCGTCAATCACTATTATTCTCCGCCAGTCGACGTTTGTAACTTGGGAAAGCTAGTAACCAATTCTTGTATGTGGGATAAATAGTTGTAATTCTAATCATCTTTTTATAGAGAAACTCTTCAACTGGGTCAAATCCCATAATTTTTTTAATTTTCGGGTTTCCATGTAAAAACTTATGGTTTCATTATAAGTTACTTTCTCTTTTCTGAATGTGTATCATGCTTAGACGATAATCTGTCACTCTACTGCTACGAATTTTCTAGCACGTAACAATCAAAAAAAATTTTATTTGATTCCAAAAAAAAAAAATTTGGCTTGGAGCGCCGGACGGCTTGCACAAGAAGACAAAGCTAGCTTATTTATACACCATATTAGAAATAATAAAATCAGCACAAAAAGAAAAAAAAAATGATTGTCATCATCCTTTCCATTCTCTTCTTCTCCGTACCCCCCCTCTCATCTCTCTTTCCCACCCATGCCGATCGCCGCCGCCCTCCGCTTCCTCCAGGGCCAAAAGGCTGGCCTTTGGTCGGCAACCTCCTCCAACTGGGCACCAAGGTACACCAAGCTCTTCAGCACCTATCAAATTCTCATGGTTCTGCCGGCCTCCTTCGTCTCCGCTTAGGCACTGTCGATGTCATCGTCATATCCTCCGCCTCCGCGGCCGCCAAGTGCTTTCGCAGCAACGACACCAAACTCAGCAGCCGCCCCCCGAATTCGATGGGCAGACACATTACCTACAACTTCCAGGACCTCGCAGGACATCATAATGGCGCCCTACGGGCCGCGGTGGCGGATGCTCAGGAAGATCTGCGCCACGCATCTATTCTCAACTAAGGTCCTGGATAGCTTCCAGCACGTGCGAGAAGACGAATTGGCGACGCTCGTTCGCGACGTGGCTTCAGGGAGGGATGCGGTGATTGATGTGGGAGCGGTGGTCAACACGTGTGCAACAAATGCTCTGGCACGTGAGTTAGTTGGACGGCGGGTGATCGTCGGAGGCGAGGAGGCGGCCAAGTTCAAGGAAATGGCCGCAGAGATATCGAGGCTGGCCGGAGAATTCAATATCGGCGATTTTGTGCCTGGGATCGACTGGCTTGACCTTCAGGCATGCCTTCCACTCCTCACTACAATCAAACTTCTAATTGTTTGCACGCACAGACTGAAATAATCTGTTATTTACATTTAAGACCACCTGTCCTACTAAAAATTATTCCATACGGACTGCCCGATCCAGATCTAGGGTCAGGATGTATTTCAGTGGGCCCCACCTAATTTTTTTTTTTAAATTCAAATATATCCTGACCGTAGATCACCGTGATCTACGGTCATAATTGAACACCGCATGCAGAGATGCATCCGATTTCCGTATGCAATAATTTCTCTCTGTGCCACTGTAATATAAACACCAATTCTTGGTAAAGTTTATAGTTAAGAATTGAGAAATTAGTACCCTCATTTCTTATGTATGGGTTTCAGGGTTTGAACAGAAAGATGAAGAAAACTCGTGAAAGATTTGGGGAGTTCTTAGAAAAAATAATTGATGATCACCGTTCGAAAGGCTTCAATCACACTAAAGATTTTCTAAGTGTGCTTATTGAGATGCACGATAGTGCAAATGAGGAGCTCGACGATATCAACATCAAAGCATTGCTCCAGGTTCTCTTTCTCTTAATTATTTTTTTTTAATTTGTTTTCTTAAAATTTTTTTACAATTATATCATTTTTAGTTCCTTAGTGTTATTTATTTTTTTATTTTGGGTTTTTGTAGGATATGTTCATTGCGGGAACTGAAACTACATCGATTACAGTAGAATGGATATTAGCGGAGCTCATTCGTCAACCAAAGATCCTTGCTCGAGCCCAACAAGAGCTAGACTCCGTCGTCGGGCGCAATCGATTTATATCTGAGTCGGATCTATCAAAATTTCCTTTCCTCCATTCCATTGTCAAGGAAACCTTGCGGCTGCATCCCGCGCTCCCTCTTGCTCTCCCCCGCATGACGATTGAAGATTTTGAGATCGATGGCTATCTCATTCCCAAAGGCATTACCGTACTTATTAATCTTTGGGCTATTGGTCGTGATCCCGCCGCTTGGCCAGATGAACCCTGCGAATTCAAACCTGATCGATTTGGCTCGAGTTCGCTGCATGCAAATGTTGACGTCAAGGGAAACGACTTCGAGTTGATACCCTTCGGCATTGGGCGAAGAATGTGTGCCGGGATAAATCTTGGACTTCGAATGGTTCATCTCACAACAGCCATTTTGTTACATTCTTTTGATTGGACATTGCCAGAAGGTAATATGGCTCAAATGTTGGACATGGAGGAGAGATTTGGGGGGACTATGCCCAAGGCAAAGCCACTTATGGCTAAAGCAATGCCAAGACTCGCACCTAATACTTATCTTTAATTTTTTTATTCCATGTAATCTTAATTTTGCATGAAATAATTTCGCCTAAAGAATGACCTATCAAATAAAATTGTGTAATGTTGATTTATTTGTCTTCCATTTTTTTTAAGGTCTATATAAATTAATTGAACGTGTTGCAATTTAGTTTGAATGTTCAATTTTTATTTATGTTACACTATAAAAATAATGATCTTTTATGACGGCCAAATTTCGTCAGTTATAATGAGAAAAATCGTTGTTTTTGATGTTTCTAACAATTTATCTGCAGTTTTAAGCTTGTAGGTAAAACTCTTGTAAGACTCCTGTCGGTAATTTCAAAAACGACTAATATTCCAACAACAAAAAATTACAGACGCAACCGATAAATTAATCTCGTATTTTCTTTTAGAAAATCCAAGTCGTCAATTTCCAATTCTCGTATTTTCTTTTAGAAAATTCAAGTCGTCAATTTCCATTGGTTCATAGAACCGAACGTTACTCGACGGTTATAACAACTGTTTACATGTTGAAAATGACTCACCTGTCGGTTTTTTGACGTAGGCAAACCATTAGTAATGTGTCGCTTATGCTTCAGTTTTTATGACTGACGGATTAACTGTCAAAAAAATGCCGCGTCTGTTGTTTTTCTATTATGCACTCAAGCCGTCGGTTACGTGTCAATAAATATTTCAAAAAAAGAGAAAGAAGTCCATCGGTTATTCGACGCTTTTGCTTACAAATATGTAAAAAGTTGTTGAAAACCTGTAGAAAAAAAAAAAAAGGAGATTTTCCCTTTCGTATTTGCATTGGTAGTGTTCTCATCTAGGGTTGTAAACAAGCCGAGCTTGAGCGAGCTTGGGCTTGACTCATGTTCGGCTCGTTCGAAACTGTTTGTGTTCTAAATCGGCTCGTGAACAGTGTGTTCGTGTTCAGCTCTTGTTCGGCTCGAAATTGACTCGTTAAAATTAAATTGAAAAAAATAGATATAAAGTGTTGGATTCGAACCTGGACCAAATGTATGAAAAAGAAGGAACATAACTGAATTAAACTTAAACATAAATATATATAATATATTATTATATAAATAATATATGTAATATACTGTTATATAAAATATTATATAATTTTTTTTTGAGTCATTTCGAGCAGAACACGAGCGAACAAACTGTTGTTTACATTTCGAGCTTAAAAATTTGTTCGTGTTCGGCTCGTTCGTTAAGCCTAACAAGCCGAACACGAGCTGCTTAACGAGCCGAACATGAGATGTTCACGAACAACGAGCCAAATTGACAGCCCTAATTACGTCACATAATATCATAATTTTTAATATACAATTCTAAGCATTTAACGGAATAGAAAAACAGTCCAACAATAAATTATCCAATAAAAAAAATGTAATAAATAAAACTCTAAAAATATATGTATCACTGTTCATAGAAAAAATATATATTGAAAATGTATAACATAAACATAAAAAAACAAAAATACCTCTTAATCTTCCTCCTATCTCCCCATTCTCATCATCATCGTCCTTTGTTGCTTCCTCCACCTCCAATGTTGTCGCTGCTCTGTCACGCTCCCTCATCCGTTGTCGGAAGGAATCTAACTCGACCTTCAACTTTGCCTCCAAGTTGGCTTTCAGCTCCGACCTCATCTTAGTGAAGTGCGCCTCCATCTCAACAGAGAATACGACAACAAGTCTGGAGATCCCCTCATTCTGTGCTGTAGAGGAAGAAGCTGTAAATGCACCGGTGGAAGGGTAAGAGTCGTAGGCAAATCCATGCGACCCGAGCCCATAGACTTGACCCTTCTTCTTCCCTTCAATAGCCTCCCTCCACTGGTCGTACTCGGAAGAATCACGCTCGCGGATCGTAATATCTCCCGACACCTGAGATCGACTCTTCTTCAGATGTTGGAATCTCGCATGCAAAAAAGGTAGTTACATTCAATCAGAGCTAGCATGTTGTTACATCAAACTAGTTTATCTCTTGAATTATCTGGGTTGCACAAGATCTTTCGTGGATCCATGATTGGTCAGATCGCCTCCTGTGAGTGCGCTCATGTATATTGGCGGTGGAGGGCACTTGTCCGATTTCCACAGCCTGCTCATATAACTAAATAATTAGAATACATCTTCGAACTATATAGAACTCTTAAGAAGAACTGAAATCTTACCAGTCTCTGCTTGTATTCTGTATGTGAGAGCGTCCCGCCAGCGTGCTTGGAGGGCCCCATGCCTCCACTGTCCGACCGTCTGTTTCGCTTTGCCTGCTCCCTCTTCTTCCGATAGTTCATGGAAACCCATGCCTAAGCACGGTGGCAAAGATAGCCATAGAGGATTTTGTTGTGATTTCTGAATATCGTCAAATATGTTCTAGAGACGATTGCTAACATTACACTCGAAGTTGCATCAGATATGCGCATCGTGCTCTGAGCACCGGAAGAATTGTTTCTAAAAATGACAAAGATTATGTTCATTTGATAAATAAGCAAAAACAATTTAAGATATTTGTGAATGATACATACTGCAAACTCCTAGAATCAAAGATCTCGAATGAACATCGGGATCTCCTTCCACGACAAATATGTTGAGCCGTATTTGCTCTGAATGATATCTTGAATGACAGGAATAGTCTGGGCCAGCGGATAGAACCTTAAAACTACAAATTGTTTATTTTATATTCAATTGAGCAACATTTCCAGTAGACAATAAAATGACTGGGACAATTGAATGACTGGGAAATCATGGAGACTGATTAGAATTCAATTCTAAACGCCTCTATGAAGAACCCAAGTGTTCTATAACTTACTTAAATTCAATCAAAACAACTTACACTAATGAAATCTTAAAATTACTGGAATCTACTTAAATTAAAATATCCAAAGACTCGTTCATGTGAACTTAAATAAAAAAATTGAATAAAATCCATAAAAATAAAGTGAAACATAAAATAAAATTGACTAAAACCTAAACTTAATCCTAATTAAAAAAACCTAGGTTTGCAAGGAATCCTTCGATAAGGTAACTCATGGCTAGCAATAAGAAATCATTCGGTTATTCATAACCAAGCAGGTCACAAATCTTAACGATCATGGGACAATAGAACTATGAGATCTTTATCAAGGTTTGTCATAAATAAATAATGGTTAGAAATCAAATTAAATAATAGACAATTCTGTTAAAAATCAAATTGATTAAAATTCAGTTAAACTCAGTCAAGATCAAAATCATAAAATTCAAAAGATATAAAAACATACATAAACCCCTAATGAACAAATAAAACCAAATGTAACTTGAACAATAATAAATAACGTCTCCCAGGTCTATGAAAATTTTTTAGATGACTGACAAAAATCTTCCAGTCGAATTAGATTAACTTCATTTTCTAACTAAGTAGATCCAAAACACCAACGACCTCCGAATGAGAACTTTCTCATTTCACATTCACCCAACTTTAGACGCCATAAGACATTAACTCTTTAGACATCATAGGAGTATATAGGTTTTGTGATGTGATTGTTGTGTTTGCTCGCTAGATGTTTGTCATGATGAGAAGACCATCTCTCTGTTGCACTGGGTCGTGGTAGATTTTCCTTACTTGTTTCTAGGCTGCTATAGGATGCTTAGGTTGTGCTAAATTTGTTTTGTATGACTGTTGTAGTTAGAATGGGTAGGCTGCTGTAGTAATTTATGATTTACTTCTTATAGTGTCTTTTTTTCTTTTTAGGGTTAGGGTGTGTTTTGGTCGGTTGAGTATCGATGTCTGAATCATCTAAAAGAGGATGAACACTAAAGCAAAAGATGAAAGTCGACTAAACCAACATCGATGCTTTCGATGAAGTCAATCGATGAGTCAAACTCAGGTCTAGGATTGACACCCATCTTGTCGTCTGTATCACATGCTTTTGCTCTATATATCCGACAAAAATTTAGACCAGTGTTTTGCTTATGCATTTTGCCTGGATTATCGGGTGGTATGAATATATTTAAATGCCTTGAATACCAAAGAGCTTATGGGCATTTACATAAATAGTAAACAATTTTAATATATTTACACATATCACATCTAAAATTTTATATTTACACGCATGCATATCACTCAAATTTCTAATATCACATTAAAAATAATAATATTGTTACTTTTAAAAGTGAGAGTTTTCCATGCATAGATTTAAAACACTTAGTGATGTGCATCTAAATATGAATGTTTAGGTGGGAATATGTAAATACATAAAAATTGTGCGTTAGTTACGTAAATTTTCCAAACTTATATATATATATTTAAGTAATTTGACTTAGTTAATATGATGATTTTCTTAACTTACAACTATATGTCACATAATTTCACCCCCCTTTTTTTTCTTACATGTTGCATATATATCCAAATAGTTGTTAATACCAAACCAAAAATTTAAGACGACTGACGAAATAAAAACAAAAAAAATAACTAGTATTTAAGTTTGAAACTCTGCAATTTATAAAAAATTATTATAAATTCATTTATTAAAAAAATAATTAATATTAATTTTTTCTTAAACATATGAGTTTATGAGATAAAAATTTGAGGGGCACCTGCCACTAGAGATGTAAACGAACCGAACACGAACGAACATAGCTTGTATGATTGTTCGGTTCGTTTGAGTTTGTTTGAAATAAAGTAATGAACTCGTGTTCGAAATTATTCGTGAAGTCACTGTTCGTGTTCGTTTCTTAACGAACGAGCCGAACATGTGATGTTCATGTTCTTCTTCGGTTCGTTTGAAATTTAGTTTGTTTGAAATAAACTCGTATTCAAAATTATTCGTGAAGCCACTGTTCGTGTTCGTTTCTTAACGAACGAGCCGAACACGAGCTGTTCGCGAACGACGATCCAGTTTGACATCCCTATTATTAATATATATAAATAATATATTATATTAATTATATAACTTATATTATAAAAATATATAATATCTATATTAGTTTATTACTAATATAGTATAATAATATAATTATAATTTATAAAATTTAATTTTTTAAA